CTACACTCCTTCATTGGTGATGCTATGGTGAGGACAGGTCAGTGAGTATTCTCAGTAGGTCCAGGCATGCCTCCCTATCTTGAAATTCTTTGGTGTTAGAAGTGCGAAACTTCTAAGTGCGAAACTCTGCTTGGCTCAGAGGTCCTGACCTTTTGAGGAGAAGTTGAAGATTGATCTGTCCCCTGACCAACCAGTGACCTGAGGGAGAGGCATATTGAACCAAATTGTATTTAATGATTAATAAAATTCTTTGTCTTGCTGTCTCAACCCAGGAAACTAGAGACAACGGGTGCACAGAACATAGAGTTCCTTCAGGTCATCGCTAAAAGGGAGGAGTCTATCCATCAATCCCAGCTGCGATTGGAGGAGAAAACCCGTGAGTGTAGCTCCTTGGCTCGGCAGCTGGAGATGGCCATTGAAGATGCCAAAAGACAGGTTAGTAACTCCTTGTCAGAGTAAGAAACTGATCAAATACAGTGGAACTCCCAAACTGCAGGAGAGCAGGTTACTAGCTGATGGAAGGGGATTCCTCTACATTCCATCACCAACCTTCTAATTTTGCTTCCTCTTGCTGCATTATCTGTGGGAAGCAGAAGCAAAAAAACGAAGTTGGTACTTTGTCTCCAGTAGACACACACAAATGGAAGGAAAAATGCTAGACTCAAATGCTCCTTGTCTTTGCTAGAATGAAACAAAAATATGTCCAGCCCTCCTCAAGGGCGAAGGGGGAGGAAGTTATTACCGTAGCAGAAGCAAAGCGTTTTGTACGGACCACACTCTTGCCAAAGCAAAAACTTTATTGCCTTGTTCCTACGTGTAGGTGGAACAAACGAGGGACCGAGCAGCGTCTAGAGAGAGGGCAGCCCAGTCCAAGATGCTGGAGTTGGAGACCCAGCTGAGCCGGACGAAAACAGAACTAAACCAGCTGCGTCGGAGCAAAGACGACGTGAGTGGTTTGGAGGGGATGTTGCTGATCAACTAGCAGCCTTGAAGCAGCAGGAAGAGTCTGTAATCCCATGTCCCATCAGCGTGCTGAGGAAATTGTACAGTAACTTGGTTGTGGTGTATCTGTGTCTGCGGTGATGGTGAAACACACTCATGTGTTTGGTGAAGTAGAAAGTGTGGAGGAAGATGTAGTTTTTGCCCCCCAAGAGGCTTACAATCTAAGTCACATACACAGGGTCTGATTCTCGTCACTTATACTAACAGTTTGAATGGAGATACTCCTAATTTACACTGGTGAGAGGAGAATCAGACCCACCATACTGTTCAGACAAACACTACATCAAAAACCAGGAGAACGGAAGGGGTCCAGACAGTACAGGTGTTGCTACATCTAGGGGGGAGTTATTTTCCTCCCTTTCATCACCTTTGGATGTATGAGAGAGGGGCTGAGGAGTGTTTCCCTGCTAGGAGAAAGATTTTGTTCTCTTTGAAGGGGATCTTTTACATTTGGTCTCCCATTTTCTTTCCCTGTTTACTTTAGCCCTGGGATTGGAAGAGGGCTGACCTACAGCAGGTGATAACCTCCTGAGTTTCTTCCTAGAGAGTGGTTCCATTTTGTTTTGTTTTCAAACCATTAGTTAATCAGAATGTTAAGTTCCTGTTCTGATTGGCTGTGTTATCTTGTGTGTTTTATATACAAGTTGATGTGTGGGGTTGGGACTGAGTGAAATGAGTGATAGACTTTGTGTTATGTGGTGGTTGTTGCAGTGACACATTGTTCCTAAAAATCCCAGAGAATGACAAGAGTTAAGGCTAGCGTGATTAGAATGAAAACTCTCTAGCCTTCAGCCCTGTGTTTTGTGTCTTCTTCATGCAGTCAGAGCGCCGATACCAAAGCCGTCTACAGGACTTAAAGGATCGCCTGGAGCAGTCTGAAAGCACCAACCGAAGCATGCAAAACTATGTCCAGTTCCTCAAGTCCTCTTACGCCAACGTCTTTGGAGAAAGTGCCTTATTGAGCTCACCTATCCATTCCCGATCTCCTCCATGATAATAGTTCCCTCTCTGTCCCTCTGCTATTGAGAGGTACAAAAGGGGGGCCAGATTTCAAAGCCATATCTTGTCCAGAAAACTGTTTGGGATTTCAGAGTCCATGTAAAGAGAAGTCTTCCTCTCATTCACATTGTCTGGGTGAGATGGAGCTGCAGCGGAGTACAACAGGAAAGTGGGATTGTTTTCTATTTGGAGATTGGCACTGCATCATCAGCCATGCCCAAAAACATCTGGGTTGGAGTATGTGGGGAATGCTTTCCCTTTCATCTCCTAATCCCCCAGTGGTTACTTCTCTTGTAACTAACCCGGTGGGCCTTTCAATTAATCATATTAGCTATTTTTTATTTTTGTAAGAGTTCTGTCTCTTCCTACCTTGTGTTCTTTTCTCACACGGCAGAGATCATGTTTGTTTTTAACTCTCACATACTGTGTTGATACAGCTGACCAATGGGGATATTAGGAGATAGTGCCACCAGTACAAGTGTGAACCCAACAGTGATAACTAAGTGACTGGAATCCACGCTGAGAATGGGTTACCTCCTGATCAGCCACCCTTTTTATAAACAATTTTGTACTGGGAAACAATGAAATTGTATCTTCTGAAGGTTTCTCACCTGATTCATGAATACTGTCTAATCCTTTATTTCTTGTGTGTGTGGTTGGTGTGTGTGAATGCTTCTAATCTGCATATTTTCTGGATGCCCTTTTCCTCCCAACAGCCTGATCCTGCATTCCTTGCACATCCCAGGGTCTGAGTCAAAGCCATTTGAAGTCAATGGAAAGATTCCCATTAATTTCAGTGGGTCTGGAATCAGGACCCCATTCCGAATACAGTGGGAGCTTTGAGTCAGCTGTAGGAAAAAATAAAATAAAAAGACAGACTTGATGCTTGGCTTTGCCCTCAAAGCCAGCCTGCACATACTCCTGTGACGTGAGGTCATCTCCGGGATGTGAAGGAATGTCAAGGTCTGTGGGCTCTACTGTGCCCTCCAGTAAGCAGCTGTTCTGAACAATAGTAAACATTCATTTCATTTCAGCCTTCGCTGTTTGGGTGGGGGGGCTTTTTGGTGGTGGTTTTTTTGTTTTTGTTTTTTTTTTAATTCTGTTTACATGAGATGCAGTCATCAGTGGAATGTTTGATAAGGGATTTCTAAGTTTCTTTTAATCAGTATTTGAGAGTTCCATTTTAATGTGTAACTTAAAAAAAATCCAAAAGGTGCTATGATAAAATTATTAAACTTCAGAAGTTTAAAATTGGTGTTATTTCTAAGGTTAAGTATCAGGGGGTAGCCGTGTTAGTCTGTATCTACAAAAACAACAAGGAGTCTGGTGGCACCTTAAAGACTAACAGATTTATTTGGGCACAAGCTTTCGTGGGTAAAAACCTCACTTTCGTTTTTACCCACGAAAGTTTATGCCCAAATAAATCTTAGTCTTTAAGGTGCCACGAGACTCCTTGTTATTTCTGGGGTTGACACTTCATCTTGTAAATTGCCTCATTATCTTTCCACTGTCGTTCCCCTCCATCATGCTTCTGGTGTTTTGTAGGAGCTAATGTCTCAAAGGAAATTGATGGATTTTTTTAAAATTTAATCTTATTTTAAAGATGATTAAAACTAATACACCTTTCAGCCATCAGCACTGGTGCTCAAAATACATAAATTTGTTCATGAGACTAGGGATAATGCTGCAGTTGCTTGAGGGGAAATGAATCCTTACAATAAGGGGAGGAGAAAGCAGTCGTCACTGATAGTCAAATGTATGATAAAATCAAGAAAATCAGTTCTTAATCTTTCAGTTTTTAGCCTCCAGCTCCAGCACAAAATACCATAGTCCTGTCATTCTGAATCAAGAAGTGTTAAGGTCTCAATTGCCCATGTATCCCAGACTTTGAATTTCATCATGTAGGCATCCCTTTCTTTTTTGCTGCTGTGTGTACTCCTTGATAAGGAGCCTAATGCTCCATCCATTTTATGAATGGAACTCCCATGGTCTCAGTGCAGTTCAAAGCACAAAGCTGCTGCAGGAATGGGACAAGGGATAGTACACTAATTTGAAACATGACAATTCCTCTGCTCTATTTGTCTTAATATCCTCCTGATAGAAGTATACCAGATGCTCCAGAGAAAAGTAAACTTGGTCATTATGCAACACGGGAGAGGAAGGTACTTTAAAAATGTGCAGCAGAGTTTTGAAGCAATGTAAACATTCAGCATGCCATTAGCCTTCTTCCTCCAGTTGGTATTATCTCCATTTTACAGACAAAGAAACTGAGGCAGAGAGCAATTTAATTATTAGTCCAAGGTCACTTGTGAAATTTGTGCCAGAACCAGAGCTAGAACTCAGAAGTCCTCACTCCTAATCTACATCTTTCACCATACTCTGAAAGCTTCCTTTAGTGTCTTTTGATCTGAGTGGGCGGTTCTGATAGACTGGCTGTTGCTGCGCACTCATCACCTTTTTAAAATGGATGCTAGTGGAGAGATCTGTGCTCTCAAGGCCTCAACTCCCAGGACCAGGGCAAACTTTGAGTCAACCTGCCACAGAAGGACCTTTATTCCTAATTTGCCAAAGGTGAAATTATACAGTGCAATCCCAGGAGGCGGAGGCTAAATACTAGATACCAAATGGGTCATCTTTTGCCTCCGGGATCTTCTTTCCAGGAGCAATAGTGGCACCTCTCTGAGGGCGTTATCCCTTAAGGAGAGAGACTCTCCTCTTACATTTATTTCTCTCTTTAGGAGTAAGGTAAGAAAGAGGTGATGTGGATTCTAACCTGTCATAAAATTAACAGGAAAAACCTCAGGCACTTCTGGGCCAAGTCTGCTCTGTGCGATTTCCCAGCTCCTAAGCGTTATAAGAAGGGCCGCTTCTTGCCACTGGAGCCACAGAAGCGGATCTCTGTGCTAGGAGGGGAGGAGAGCCGCCGGTGGCCGGAAGCGGAAGGAGTGTGTGGGGGGGTTAAAGGTCATTGTGTCCCTGTCATGCGCGATGGGGGCTGAGGCTGGCTGGCGGTGATCCCTAGGCTGGGCCGAGATGCCGTCCGAGCGGTATCGCTGGGAGACCCTGGAAGCGCTGAAGGGCTCCAGCAAGGGGCAGCTGAGCTACTCCCGGGACTGGCTGCTGCGGGGTGAGGTGAGTGCGGAGCGGGGGGGCGCTGCGGGGACCCCCCCACACACGGGGGGGCTGGACCCGCTCCCGGCCAGCCCTGCT